ATCAAAAAAAAAAAAAAAAAAAAAAAACAAAAAAGAAAAAGCGAATGGTATAGATGTGTCCGCGATTTGGTTGTCTACATTTGTCCAGCTAAAATTTACCACTCCTCAAAAAAAAAAAAGCTATCACCAAATAAAAACGTAAAAAGTTTGACATCAGCGCTGCACGAAATGTTTCATTGATTTTTCAGTAGGATATGATTGTCCACGATTTGTTCATGTTTGTCCACTCAATATTTTCAATTGACTAGACTACACAAAAAAGGATAGCACCAAATGGAAACTTTTAACGATAACTTTTTTTTTTACAGCTGGACAAGTTGGACAAATGTGCACGAGCACTGTTTATAAAAATTCGCATTTGGACGTGCAAATTTCACGGACTTTACTGTTTCTAATAAAATTCCTACAACGCCAGATGGTACGAAAGGACGAACACAGAATTCACGTTGCATAATGTACTTCGAAATATCAAATAAACGATTTAATCGGTTTATGGTATATGATATAATGCAATGTATTCAGAGTATTTCAGAAAAAGTTGTTATTTCTTCTATAATAATTAAAGTTGAACTTAAACCGGACTTTCACGTAATTTTGAAAAATTTGAAAATGTAAAATTACACACAATGTATATAGTACACGAAAATATAATATATAAAATATTGAAAGAAAAATATTTATTATAATATTTAATAGATGAAAGAAATTGTTATTTCCATTCCGTTTCCCTACTTGTAGAAATCTGTAGCCTAATAATAACGAAATAAACTTATAATTATTTCAGTATTGTTAGAACTAATGTAAAACATAACTTTTTACACGTACACGATCAACTACTTAACTTCTACGATGAGTCGTTTGCTTTTGTTCAAGTCAGACAGATGCAGTTACGATATGAAATAATTTTCGCGAGACTATTTCAATATAAAACAGTTTTTACACTTTACATTTTACAAATTTATCAATTTGACCAATGCCTCTTTTTTTTGCAACAAGATAATTCTTTAAAAGATTTTTATCGACCGCAGGAAAAAGCAACAGATGAGAATTTTCGTTGGAAAGTTTACGATACTTTCTCAAAGAAAATGAGCTATTTTTGAGTCGTTTTAGTTAAGATTTTTAAATTCAGTGTCTTGAAAAGGTTAATTAAGAACTGCTTAATTACAGCTGACCTCGAGAAAAATTCCAAATCCTCGTGAAAAGATGCGTTCCGTGTAAGTGTAGCCCACCTTCTCGAGAAAAAGCACGGAAAAACGCACCGGAAGTGCAAGTAACTTGTCCGGGATACCCTAAAAGCACGTTGAAATTACCCTCGCCCGGTAAAAAATAATTAGTACGCATCTTTTGGCCAATTGTTCATGGAAGCTAAATACGAGATGGGCCAAAACTCATTTTCCGACTTCTTTTAACGAGAGCTTTAATTAGCAAGTTACTTTTTTGCGCAAATAGTTTCTTCTCTTTGTAATTATGTGGAATGAAATGGCAAGTTACGTGTACAAATGTTCGCCTTTTGACCATCCACGAGTTTGAACATTTTTTATTTAAGACTACAAGTAACAAGCTCTTTGTTTATTTACCGGTATGCCTAGTGATGGGATCTTTCCTAGCGATGGGCTGGTGCTTTCAACTGAATATCAGCCGCCATAAAAAATTTATCGGGGATAAATCTGGCGAAAGAATCCGCCAGTAATTTTTACTATTGCAATATTTTGTTCACAACATAAACGTCATTTCAAACATCCTATCCAACGCTCTGTTGAACTAAATTTCATTAATTCTATAAATCAAGGATTTCATTTCTGAAGTCAGGATCATTCGAAGATCATAGTATTGAGTTGTTGAATTGATGTATGTATGTTGATGTATGAAATCAAAAATACATCGTACCATTGAAAAAAGAAAGTGAAGATGACTATGCTTTTTTACAGGAAGAAGAATTTCTTGGCGGTTTTAAGTACTGCAATTTGTAGCTGTTTCAAAGTAGGTCAACTTTTGTTTGAAACGTTTTCCTGTTGCATTATCAGAAAATGCTTGAAAAACTACTCTTCATTACAACTAATCTTCAAAATATTGATACGTCTTTGTTCACACGATTGGTCAAAGTTGAATTGACCGAAACAAATACAGTGGAATTTCATTTCTCTGAATTTGGAGGACGAATAATTCTCAGTCAGATATCTGGTTAGATACTCTGGACGGAAGATTGACATGAAAACAACACATCATAGACAAATCGAAGCAACTCAAGGCTAAACTTAACAAATTTTACTGGCTCATTGGTCGTCGCTCCAACTTAAGCACTCAGAGCAAAATAATGCTATATAAAGCTATACTAAAAACTGTCTGCACCTATGGGATCCAACTATGGGGAACAGCGAGTAATAACATAGAAATCCTTCAAGGATTTCAAGCAAAAACACTAGGATCCTTAATAGATGCACGTTGGTATGTCACCAACGAAACAATCCACCGCGACTTCAAGATGCCCACAGTCAAAGAAGAAATACACAAGTTCAGAAGCAGATATAGCACGAGAGTCAACAACCACCATAACCCATTAGTCACCCAACTACTTGACACGACGGACCAGATCCGCAGACTAAGAAGAAAATACTCTTTAGATTGAAGCATTAGATTCAACTAGAATCAGCATAATATAAATTATTATAAACCAAGTTATTGTACCAAATGAAGTTACTTAGAATTCTCAACGAGAATTGATTGTAAATAATCTACCAAATAAAAAAAAAAAAAAATAATGGGGCTCATCAACTTCCCTCATTATGTATCTATTATTTTTCGTTCACAGGATAGGAGCTGATGTTCAGAAAAATGAATTCAACCGGCAAAATTTCACTTAATCGGCGATTAACTTTCATTAAAATAAATGGAGTTCTGAAGAGTTAATATAAATCGCTACTTACCGACTAGAATGAGGATAAATGCTGGGTCGAGCGCAACATTTGTGAGCCTGGACAAATTGTTGAATGTGTCCTTTTCGGTCCAAGCCCATACACCTACCGCCATGATACCCAAACCCAGCCACTGAAATATCAAGAGAAAAGAATTTTAAAAATTAGTCACAACGAGGATTAATTATAACATTAGAGACGAAACATTTTAATTTGAAACAGGCATTAAAACTTTTTCTCAAACCCTTTCCTTGATTTATATTCCCATTTTTTGTAGCTTTATCCAATGCAAAAAACAATGATTATGTTGATAAACAAAATAGCGATAATTATGTTAGGTTTATTCTTGGTTTGTTTCATTTAACTAAATGCATCGATCAATCACGGGAACTGGTATTTCGTATTTTTGTCGTAATCTCTTAACAAAGTTGCAAACAACTCATATTATATGTGAAATTTGTTCTTATTTAGACATTTCATTAAATTCCCACGATTTTCTAAAATGGACAATGTTCTAATCCATCACTTTGACAAATATTCGCTTAGCTTTAAGTCCATTCGTTTGATCAAATAAAAAAAAAGAATATTAATTAAAATATATTAATCATTAAGTTGACAAGTAGTATTATTTAAAGTACTTATTTAAAAAATAATATTTCAAATGTAAATTTCGTCCAGGTTTGCTTCATCGGTCGATATTTAACACTATTTACACTGAACGTAAGATACGTTCTTAATTAACAGAAAATTAAGAGAATCCGACGTTTTCGTCAGAGGACTTATTTAATTTCTTATTCAACTTATTTAATTATTTTAAATTTATTCAAAATGCCAATTTCTACGACATATTTAAAAATCATCGAAATCGATGAGAGAATAGTTAATGCACAAGTTCAACATGAACAAATGAGTATACATGAGTATATCAGTAGTAGTATAAGTACATGGTAGTATGAGTATGAATGTATACAAATGAGTAGCCTGTATGAGATTAGCTCCTGGTTCTTTAAATCTCGTATCTTTTTGTCTTGTTCCAAGTCGTTCAACGCTTGTTCTACCTCGTTGCAAAGAAATAATGAATCATCTCGGAAGGTTACAGAAACATCGCCAAAGAGTGGAATTCTTCACAAGACCCCATTTTTTTTTTTTTTTTTTTTTA